GTGTTACCAGTTAGGAACCTAAAACACCGGCCATAGTACCGGTAATGAGGTTTCGTAGTATATGCAGACGCTCTTTGGGTTCGTCACGCAATCTTCCTCCTCCAGCAACATCGTTCGAGGCAGAGGGAGATTGCGTGACTAGCCCAAAGAGCATCTGCGTAGGAGACCTAAAGAGTAGAGTGCAGAACAAAATGATTCATCAGAGTAGCTTTGTTACAATATATCGTTTATCAGTTTTCTAGTTTCTTTTCTATCGCGAACAAGCCTGTCCGGTTATAAGTCCCAAGGGTTTAAAACGAGCATTTTACTGTAAGCTTTTATAAATTTTGCTGACAGAATTTCAAGCTGAGTAGGACAGATTGTGGCAGCAAGCGTTATACCGCTGGAATAAGGACTTGTGAAACAGAATTCGAGCAGAAAAACTTAGCAAATTAGTTTGTAAAATGATAAATGATAATTGTCAGGAGTGGGAAAGAAAAGCAATCTAACTCTAAGTCCAACAAGGACAAAGAATAACCAAACCTATGCACCACAGTTAGCGCGGCTTTACACACTTGACTTACTAATCAAAGTTGTCCCAAGGAAACCGTTGCTGATGTCATTGTTTACATTTTACCTCCTTGAGATACCGCTTTACGTAGAGAAGACATCGTGCGAGATACAAAATGAGTCAAAACATTTTAGACATTACCGTTTAGTGATCGGTGACAATTTACGCTCTTTGCCCGTAATATTGATGAAGTCATTGGTTTTCAAAACCTGCACGTTTATACGTGTTAAAAGCACAGTAATTTATCGCGTGACCGGGTGTTCAAGAGTGCGTGACCGTAATTTGTGGTCTGCAAATGTTGATAACAGAGAACAAAATTTGCATATATCGCGTGGACCCAGTTAATCACGAAACCTGCAATAATTGATCTTGAAGGCTATAAAGTTTGTGTTCATTAATTTAGTTGGAAAAAGCGTGTCTTTAACTGTCAATGGGAAATATTTGTTGTGTGTGCTCGGTGTAGTGTCGTCTGCAAATTGTGTTCCTTGCTTTGGATAACAGAGAACAAATTTCCATATATCGTGTGCACCCAGTTGATCACCAAAACTGCATTGATCTTGATGGCTATTAAGTTTGTGTTCTTAAATTTAGTTGGAAGAAAGCGTGTTCTGAAACGACAAAGGGAAATGTGTGTTGCGTCTGCTCGGTTAATACCAAGCATATTTTGTATGCGTTTGAAAATGTTCATGCAAAATTGTATTAACAGCAATCTTTTAGCACCCGTACTTTACTATCAGTCACACAATTCGAGATTTCACGACTTGTTGCTAAAATTTGCGGCTATCATCAAGCGAAAACACTGAATCATTAGTGCTAAAACGCTTTCCTAATCGATTTGTTGATTGACTGTACTTTTTGCGAAGCTTTCTCTTATATCAGCAGAGCCGCTACTTAATCAAAAGCTTTTGGACCTTGTAAATAAAGATGAACTTACTTGAAAGTTATAATGTGGTAAAACATCTCAACTTCTTCCTCGTCGTCTCCGTGATCTCCGGGTCCGTGATCTTCGTGTCCGTGATCTCCGTGTCCGTGATCTTCGTGTCCGTGGTCTCCATGCCCACCCTCCTCATCTTCATCCTCCTCGAATTCGTCCTCATCATACTTCCACATTCTCGTTCCAATGTAGCGAACATCGCTCTTGTCTCCAACCAACGACTNCGTGTCCGTGGTCTCCATGCCCACCCTCCTCATCTTCATCCTCCTCGAATTCGTCCTCATCATACTTCCACATTCTCGTTCCAATGTAGCGAACATCGCTCTTGTCTCCAACCAACGACTTCAGCATCTTGCCTGTTACGAAGTTAGCCCCGTGCTTGCAGATCTCTACCATGTGACGGCCGTCCGGCTTCAGTAGCGCCTGCATCAGGCTCGTGTACTCCTTCAGTCGCTTCTTACCCATGGCATTGATAACCGGTATCGCCGACTGATCCCAGATCGCATCAAACTGCCCGCCGGACTCTTCGAGGGAGAAAT